TAGATGTAGCTAAATATGCTAGTAGGTGTAGCTAAAAATGCTAGTAGCTGTGATCTGCAGCCACTTCTTCAGCTCGTCCTCCATCCCTTGTATGATTATATTGTCCTGTTTGACTCTGACAGGTGGTGTTCCTCCATGTTTAAATTAAATCCACAATGCTTGGAGAAACTATTAGCTCGTACTGTTCACACATAAACAAAATGCTGGTTCTGTCTGCGCTGGAAGTCGCGATCAGAATTCACTCATGGCAGCATGGGGGCTAGGAAGAAGGTGGATAAAATGATGAAGGCTGCAGTTGTTTTGGTCCACTCCAACTGAACTGATGAGCAACTAAAGGCTAGTCTGAGAAACCCACTTCAAAAGCAGATTGTTGCCATCTTAAAAAGCTTCCATCTTTAAAATTTCACAGCAGTTTATGCAAATTCCACAATCATTAATTCACATTAGTCCATTAATTTGGCAGAAATATTATGAAAATCTTGCAGGAAGATCTGCCTTCATGTGTGTCCTGTCAGATGTAAACTTTGTCCAAATTGAGGAGATCCAAAGAGTTATCTTCTATAGGTAAACCATTCAATCTTCATAACTTTTCCACAGAGGTCCTCTTCAAAATGACTAATGGAACACAATCAAGTTTATCCCTGTTTCAGAGATACATGTCCATATTCTGCTTGACGATACATCTTTTTCACAAAAACTCTACAGCATCTTTAAGATAGACAGGTGGTGGACGTTAAGGAGCTACCAAACAACACTTTGATGAACTCATGATGGACAGCAGCAGAAATCTGGGAGAACTACAAGCTCGCCCAGCAGCAGCATAGCCAGGAAGCATACAGAACAAACAGAAGACAGGGAGGAGGAGAGGAAGAGGAGAAAGGATAGGTGGAAGAGCCCCGAAAGCTCACAGGTGCAAACAAGGAGAGATGCACATAAGCTGAGGGTGGTGGGAGCAGAGGTAGAGCATGTATACATGTACACAGTAGAATGTTTAATGTTCTAACCATGGTAAGGAAACTGCACTCCATCGCTCTCATGCTTAATCTTCCTCTCCTGCACACTGGCCAAATGGTGCTGCACTGAAAGGCCAAACAGGGGAGAAGGAAAGAGTTAACGATGGAGAGAAGGTCAGCGGCATCCAGTTGGAAAGACAAAAAGAGAAACAGGGTGGTTAAATTACAGGCAGTGGAGGATTTTTATGTTACAGAGCGCAGCAAATGCCTTCAAACAAACGCTACATCGTTACGACTGGCAGTCTAAAAGAGGGAGGCTCGTTATAAATTACAGAGCGCATGAAATTTAGCAATTTCACAAAATGCTTCGAGTCATACAGCACACCCAGGACATATACATGAAGTCACTTTGGAAATACATTTGAGGAAATGCTCGTCGGGATAGTTGAAAGAGACGTACGCCGAAAAGGGTGAGCGGTTATGGTTTGGGAGGAAAACGGGTGGTTACAACCGGTGGCGCTCCGCTGCACCACTGAGGAGAGAAGGAGACACTCAGAGGGCATCTATAGTGGGGCTTGAAAGTTTGTGAACTCTTTATAATTTTCTATATTTCTGTATAAAAATGATCTAAAATATCTTCAGATTTTCACACACGTCCTAAAAGTAGATCAAGAGAACCCAGTTTAACAAATGAGACAAAATATTATACTTGATCATTTATTTATTGAGGAGAATGATCCAATATTACATATCTGTGATGGTAAAAATATGTGAACATGTGAAGAACAGGATCTATCAACGTCTGATCTTCTCAACATGTTTGTGGAAGTGGATCATGAACAAAGGAGATTTCTGAGGAGGTCAGAAAAACAGTTGTTGATGCTCGTCAGCTGGAAAATGTTACAAAACATCTGTAAAGAGTTTGGACTCCACAGTCAGACAGATTGTGGACAAATGGAGGAACATCAAGACCATTGTTACCTCCCCAGGAGTGGTGGACCAATAAAGATCAGTCCAAGGTGTGGAAGAGTCTGTGAGGTCACAAAGGAGCCCGGGGTAACTTCTAACACCTGAAGGTCTCTCTCACATTGACTAACGTCAGACATTAGTCAGGACATCTTGTCATCATTGATGGAACAATGAATTCTGAATTATATCAGAGAATTATGGAGGAAAATGTCAGAACATCTGTCCATGAACTGGATCTAAGAGAAGGTGGGTCATGCAGCGAGACAATGACCCCACAAGTTGTTCTACCAAAAAATGGTTCAAGAAGAATAAAGTTCAAGTTTTGGAATCAAGTTTTGGAATGACCAAGTCAAAGTCCTGACCTTAATCCAGTCCAGATGTTGTGGAAGAACCTGAAGCAGCAGTTAATGTGAGGAAACCATCAACATCCAGAGTTGAAGCTGTTCTGTAGAGGAATGGACTAAAGTTCCTCCAAGGACTGATCAACAGGTACTGGAAATGTTTAGTTGCAGTTATTGCTGCGGGGGGGTGGGTGTTCACATACTTTTACCATCACAGATATGTAATATGGATCGTTTTCCTCAATAAATAAATAAAAGACCAAGTATAATATTTTTGTCTCATTTGTTTAACTGGGTTCTCTTGATCTACATTTAGGACTTGTGTGAAATTCTGATGATGGTTTAGATCAGATTGATGCAGAAATATAGAAAATTATGAAGATTTACAAACTTTCAAGCACCAGGAAACATTTAAACCTTTTGAAAATATTTTATTTCACAACATCTGGATGGGAGGATTGATGCTCAGTGACAACTAACTAGTTTGTTAGGTTTGCACAAAGAGTGAAAACAGGAACTTACCAGTACAGTGCAGTTAGTGAACTGGTGAACCTGTTTGTCTCCATGTCAGTCTTTGTTCTAGACTAGTGAACGGGTCTTTCTGATCACCTGTTTCTGTTGTTATAGCTGAAGTAGCTGACTCACTTCCTGTTTTTAAACCTCTGAAAACACCTTTTTTCCTCTTTGGCTTTTAACTCAGATTGAAATGTTGGTTTTACAGTTTTTAATTGATTTATTTTTAATGTTTTTACAATTTTAACTTTTACAGTTTCAATTGATTTAATAGTTTTTTATGTCTACTTGTATGTGTTCGTGTACAGCACTTTGGCCGATGGTGTTGTTTTTAAAGTGCTTTACAAATAAAGTTGTGTTGTTATTTTACACTGGTACATGCCAAGTTGTTTCTTAACAGCTTTTCCAGTCAGGATGACCAACTCCTACCATTTAAAAAAAAAAACTACAACTTGAAGTGTCCCAGGATCTGTTTCTACCACTGTGTTTTATTTTGAAAGGACCACACAGTAGAAACTATGGTCACGGGTGAGCTCAGCTTTACTGTCCGAATATGTCCTATATACAGTATATGATGTTAGCAGGGTTAGCAGCATCACACTTCTCTGTACGGAGCCTCTGGTCTTAAATCATGAAGCAGCAGCTGGGATTAGTGCGTGTTTACACTGATTTATTTGCTTTTAATAAGTTTATTGTGCTGCTGACACTTGTGCTACAATAATTAGCCCAGTTTTCTTATGTTTACATAAAATATTTATAAGGAATCGTTGTCCTTATGTTCAATGTATTTGTAAAATTTAGAATAAAAAAATAGGACAATTGAATTTGAATAGATTTTAAAATGTTTCTTTTTCCATACGCATTGTTGCCTTACATATAGGAGTCGTAGAATTGCATCATTAAAGTAAAAAAAACGACAAGTATTAATAGTAAAGACTGATCAAAGACCAGAGTTTTTATAATATCAACAGAAGATATAAAAGATTAACAAAAATATTTTAGAGCTAAATTATGTGGAAAAAATATAGAACAAGCCTATTTTAATTAAACATGCTGCTCGCTGCAGCTTTTGTAGATGCTGCTACTTCCTTCACCGCAGATGACAGCAGGTGTGAAGACGCGCGCAGCCGGTGATCAGCTCATCCATCCATCCATCCATCATCTCTAACCGCGTCTTCCTTTTCAGGTAGCGGGGGTCGCTGGTGCCCATGTCCAGCAGTCACTGTGTGAAAGGTGGGGTACACCCTGGACATATCACAAGTCCATTTCAACCAGTGGGACAGTGGACGCGCGCGGCTGGTGACAGGTGTCCATCTGAGCCTAACACAACATTTATCTCTAAATCGGCCGGTCAGACCCGCCTCCTCCTCTACAAGCAGATTAACACAATTTTACATTGTGCATCCTTATTCAGTTTTCTTTGTGCTGTCTGATTCGTAAAACCGCATCAAAGACCGAGACCGGCCCGCACGTTATTATGGCCCGGCCTGGTTCCAAATCCAGGTTCAGGTTAGAAATGACAGCTAGAACATTTCTCTAAGAATAAAATGAACTTTTCTGACAACAGAGTGATGTGTATGTGCAGCAGGTGCATCACTGAGCGGTGGTTTCAGAAACAGTAAACAGGTGTGTCTGGTGTTAACAGCATCATCATTTCTGCCTGTACAGACAAGTTAGACCCTCCATATAACACAAATGACCCCTGGGTAAAGTTGAGCTCTGTGTGACTGATTGAATGAAACACAAACAGTTCATTATTTTGTTCTTTAGTTAACCTTTATTTATACAGGTTAATCCCATTGAGCCTCGAGGACTCATTTACAAGAGAGACCTGATTCAACAGGCGATAACCACTCTCTACATGTGTCAGCCATACTGGGTTTTGAGGCTGGGACTGGTCAGGGACCTCCAACTTTCTAAGTCAGAATTATGACTTCGGGACACGTTCCAGTTGATTTTTACAACTTGTAACTCAGAAATGTTCAATTTAAGAGTAAAAACAGAACACGTCGTAAATGTTCCTTCTTTTATTTGTATAGTTTTGATTTGACACTAAAACGTGTACTTTTTGAGCGATGCTAAGCTAACCACTCTGTTAGCATGGTGTATGATAAAAACACAGCAGTGGGATCGATCTAAAGCTCTGACTACATCACTTTGAATATTTAGAAGGTAAAAACAGTCTTACACAAACAGAGCTTTTGGTGATTAAAACAGATGGTTTTAAAAACACATTTTAAACTTTTTACAAACTTGTCTTCGGCTTTTTGTACAAACAAAACTTCCCAGAAACGATATTATCAACAGGCTCACTTTGTGTCCTCAAAACCAAAACGACGGTTTACGGACATTTCTACCGCTGTCTTATCTTAGTCCATCCTGATTCTGTCACGTTACATTTTAATCGTGTGCTGGAATCGTTAATAACTGGGAGGAATTTGTAAACAATATCAAGGAACAAAGTTCTGTTTTCTGAGAATATTTAGTCGAGCTCAACATGTTCTTTCTCTGTATTTTGATGAGTACCGTATTTGCTGCCGTACACGTCACCCTGCTCTATAAGTCGCATGAGTCCAAATATGTCTAATAAAGTGGAAAAATCCATGCGTCACATCTAGTATGTGTCACCGCTGACACGTCGCGTCTGTTACGCGTCACCACTGACAACCCGGAAATGTGGGCCGGTGTTGTACCAAAAATCAATGGGCTGCCAAATGGCGGGCGCGGGAGCATGCACAGGAGGACTTTAACAAGAATTTAACAAGATTAACACTTAAAAACAATTATTTGTTTGCTCAAAATTATAGTAAATGTGTATCTCAGTTGAACTTTTCCTTAACAAATGCACTTCGATGGTCAAATTAGCTGCATTTCGTCAGGTGGTGAAACTGGTTTTACTTGCTGCGACGAGCCGAACGAAGGTGGGGGGAATACGGCAGGCCGATTGTGTCATTAATAGCTGGTGAAGATTCTCAGTCATCCAGGACATGATAAATTCAAAAAAGTTCAAGACAAAAACAATAAAGTATAAAGTAAAGTATAATACATAAAGTCCAGTTGTTTTTGTATTGAAATTTTTTGAATTCATCATTATAGCCACATTTACCTATTACATGATACAACGGCATGCCACAGGGCTATTACTACTCTGCTGCCATCAAGTGGCTGAAAGTGGTACAGCTCAATTTTTTATTTTTTTTTGTCAGAATGAATGAAAACGGTTATGTCACAGCCAAACATTGGTTTATAAATATGGGAAAAAAAATCCATAAATATGTCGCTTCAGCCTATAAGTTGCAGGGCATGTAAATTATGCAAAAAACTGAGACTTGCAGAATGAAAAATACGGTAGTTATTGTGGATGGTTTCACCACCGAATGGATATTTAAGCATTTTTGTTAGAATTGTGTGGATTAAGAAAAAAGTATATACAGAAAACACTTTAATAACAAAAATATATTAATGATGTCTTAATAGAGTAATGACGACATAATCTAAATATGCAAATAACCACATATCAAGTACCGTAATTTCCAGACTATAAGCCACTACCATTTTTCTCACGCTTTGAACACTGTGCATACAATGCTGTAGCTAATTCATGGATTATTTTTTTTTTGACGGGCTAACGAGCTTCATGCCACAAAACATTTAGCCTCGTCACACCTGAGCACTCACAGAGCTGCTCAATACAAATCTCTTTTGGGGGGGTGGGTGCTTGTGACTCAATGAGACTACCTGTATAAATAAAGGTTAAAAAATAAAAAATCTGACCAATGAAACGGGGAGGGGAGGAGAGAACAGGGAGGGGTTCCTGGAGGCACAACAAATTATTTGCAGGCACTCCAAATAAGTGTGAATGGTTCATTTAAAGTGGTACTCTGAGCTCGGTGGGAGGCTTGGATGACTGGTGGCGAGAAATCATTTACCAACACTGGTCACATGCACAGAGCATCTTTAGCTCGAGTCTGCCAGTGGATCCTGTCAGCAGAGCAGGGTAAAACAATCTTCTATCACCAACGGGTTTCGAAAGGCAGCTTCATGATGAAGAGGACAGCACAAGGGCGGAGAGCGCAGGAAGAAGATGAAGATCAATAACTTCCTGGTAGGCTACTGTATTTTATTTATTTTAAACAGCCATGTTACAGGAACTGTTCAGAAAAAAAACTAACTGTAAATATTTGTGTAAGTTACTGGTACGTATTTAATTAAAAGTTTAACAAATCTTTCTGTGTAAATATCTCAGCTTATAGACAAGTGCGGCCTTTATATGTACAAAATTATTATTATTTTCTTAAATTTCGTGGTCGCGGCTTGTATTCGGGTGCGCTCGATAGTCTGGAAATTACGGTAATGTCAAACTGTTTCTTTCAAACCAGGAAAATCTACTTTGCATATGAAAAAGAAGTTTAGAATTAAATGCTGACGTGTTAGAATCGTATAAAACCATCTGAGAGGTGCTTTAAAACACACACAGTCCTCAGCCCAGCTCCTGCAGGTGCGTGTTGCTGTGTTTACCTGCATCCACGTCATTGGGCCAGCCGCTGGACTGGGAGCTGCTGCCTGCTGGAGGCGAGCGGGTAAAGAACACTTCGTCCACCGGGCTCTCCATCTCACTGCCGTCAATGGACTTGCGCTTGTTGGAGCTGAGGGAGGAAAAAATAAATAAAAAAGGAGGAAGTGTTTTTGTAGAAGGGAAGAGGAAGGAGTTAAGGGATGACATCATTTGAAAACCAACTTTATCTGTTTGTGCGTGATTTATTTTTGGTTGAGAGCTTGAGTAATTGGGACTTTAATAAATGTACAGAAATGTTTCATGAGGCATGTGAGGATTGATGTGGGCGCTGAAATCCCCTGGAGTCAGGCATGAATCTGCGTAAAAATCAAGGCTAATAAAAATTCATAATGTCAAGGTTTCTGTTCAGTTTTGCTTTAATATTAAATTACAGCCAGAGGGGACAGAGCAGCATCGGGCTGTAATTTTAACACTGTGCTGTGCTTACGGAGGCCCAAAGCGGCCTGGGAACCCACTGTTGTGTACGTTTGCTGATTCTTATGGATCCGTGCATCTGCAACCAATAAAATTAAGTGGAATGTACAGCGTGTGCGTGTGTTGCTTTTGTTTGAGTGTGAGGCGCGGGTCTGCGTTGCATTAGAGCTAAGGGAGATATTCTGCAAAGAGTGTAACTACCTCCGTGGGAGACTTGCATAAAGCTCCATTTCAGTCCTGCAGCGTAAGATGAGCAGGACAGGAGTACGAAGGGAGCGAAAGGGGGCAAAAACAGTCACAGGAGACACCAAGACAGGCAGGGCAGCAGACAAATTGGTGGGAAATTAGGAGGCAATGAGGAGGATTAGAGATGACGAAGGGAAAAAAATGGGACAAAGAGCACAGTCAGAAAGGAACGCACGCTAAGAGCTTATTAAAAAGCTTAAGAAGTGAGAATATTAGTGCAGAATATGTGGACAGCAGGAGTGGTGTGGCTGGTGTACCTGGTGGAGGGGGTGGAACGCCGTCCCAGAGTCCCCTGGTTGATGTTGTAATAACCAGGACTGTCCAGGTCTGCCAGGGAGAAGTTGGGGCCTGTTGCTGTGGCCACGGGAGCTGAGGGACAACAACACACACCGGGCTTTACTGCGTGAACGTTCATGAAGCACTCGCACTGTCATCTCTTCCTTCTCTACGTTTCTCAGCATCTTTCTCATCCCGCAGTTTAAGCTACTTCAACAAATCATATCTGAAAACGTCCAGCTGTTCCAGGACAATCCTGCTATGACCTTTGGTATTGATGCAACTTTAGCTTTTTGAAACTTTTAGCCTTTTCTGCCATTTTGTTTCTCATAGAAAATGAACTGAGCTCGTTTTACAGCTTTCAAATCTTTAGATCTGGTTCAAACTTCTGCTCCTGTCACATGTTGTTCTGGTTCAGCTTCTTTCAGCTTCCTTGTGAAAACAAACTTTTTTTCAGCTAATTTCAGCTGTTTTGTGCTCCTTTCAGATTCTTTCTGCTAACAACAACATTTTTGTGCTTCTTATAACTTCTTTCTGCTAATTTCAGCTTGTTCTGCTCCTTTCAGCTTATTTTTGCAACTTTCAGCATTTTCTGCTATTTCAGCTACTATTTAGCTGTTTTTAGGTTAGTTTTAGTTTTTTCAGCTAAACCCAATTTTTTTGGCAATAATTAAAACTTTTTTCAGCCTAATTCAGCAAAAATGTGCTCTCTCCACTTCCTTTTGGCAATTTAAGCTTCTATCTGATTTTTTAAAGCTACTTTTCAGCTGTTTTTTGCTCATTTCAGCTTTTTTCCAGATAATTCAACTTTTCTGCTCATTTCTGCTTTTTCAGCCTAACTGGGCAAACATGTCTGCTTTCTTATGCTAATTTAAGCTTGTTCTTCCATTTCAGGATGTTTTTTTAAGCTAATTGCAGCTTCTTTCCAGCAAGTTCTTCAGCAATATGCGTTCACACTGCATTTTCACAGGAAATGCAACTTTTTCCTAGTTTACGTTCATGATCATTGTTGGGTTGAGATTTTAATGGTAGTGTTTAACATGCTTCATGTTTATGATGTAAAGAAACACTAGTTTTCCTTTTCATCATGCAATGGTTCTCACTGGTGATTATAAACACAAAAAGTTTTCAGACTGAACGACTTAAGGACTGTCTGATGATTAGAAGGACCTACATGTTTGCTTTCACACCACCTGAGGATAATAAGCATGTGATACTCACCACCAACCACAATGGAGGACTTCATAGTGGGTCTGTGGTTTAACTTTTAAAGTTTGAGTTTGAAAAGTCTGCAAACATCCGGATGAAAGAGCTAAGGGTGTCATGACCCATACAGACCAGGAACAAAGCATGTCATGTCAGACGCAGTGACAGTGAGGTAGCTTCTACTTGAACAATGCAAACACAGTTTCAACTGTGGAGGGCTCAGTCTGCTCAGCCAATCAGGAAGTGTTTATGTATTTCATTTGAGCGTCCTTTTGAGCTGCACAAGTGTTTATTATGAAGCAGAGCCTAGAAATGACTAGTTATAAGAACCATGACAAGCACAGTAGCTCTTGTGCAAAAACAACAGAAATGAACAAGCGGTACATCGACGTCCTCGTCACTGAAGGAATATTTGAATACTGAATGTTTTGTGTGGTATGGAGTTTTTGAGACGAGTGTTTTTCTGGACTGGAGTTGAACGGGAGATGCAAGATAGAGCTGTCATTTCTAACCTGAACCCAGAGCCTGGCCCCGCCCAACCTGGAGTTGGACTGGTCCGGGCCATAATAATGTGCTTAATGTGCGGGCCGGGTCGGTGTCAGGCTTTTGATTACGTCAGCGGACGCACGCGGCTGATGATTCAATTATATGGCAACATAGCTTGCCATACAGTCACCAGACGCATGCGGCCATTTCACCGCGCACTGACCGGCCTTGAAAGAGGTAAAAAGTTCAGTTAAGCTTCAGATGGACTACTGCCAGGCAGTGATCAGCCCAAATGGACGTTTAGCTGCTGCACTCAGTGGACGCACGCAGCCGACGACTGAAACAGGTGAGATCCCAAAATAGCCGACATGTCAGAGCAGGGTCCGTGCCTGAATCATGCAGAATGCAGCAGAAGCAGGGGTTTAATTTGCTTTGACGGCCATGTGAGGACAAACACCCCCTCAGCTCCAATCTTCTGCCCCCTCAGCTGTGTGCGTCAGCCGACCTTTAAACTAAACTAAACTAAAGTTTAATTAAAAATGTCAGGGGGTTTTCGGGTTCGGACCTGTAATTACTGTTGATTCGTTGGGTCGAGTGGGGTTCGGAAATGATGGCTACAGGCCGGGGCCGGGTCAGGTTGGATTTTTTTGGACCCGAATGCAACTCTAATGCAAGTACAGCTAAATATTTTTGATGCAAGATATTCAAGAGTGCATGAGTTACACTGTGTATGAGAAGAGAGGTAGTTTTTTTACTGTGCTTGTCTGAGGCAGAGAGTGACGGACCCTCGCAAATGGAGGGAGCGGTTAGATCCACAATAAATTATTATTATTATCCACAGTTAAAAGTGTTTATATCGGCGCAAAATGGGACAATTATCACAGATACTGATAGGCCCTCAAACGTCTATATCAGCTTAAAATATTGGCCCTACCGATACATGGGCCGGGCTCTAATGTTTTCATAACACTGGTAGACATTCTGACTCCAAGTAGGTTTATACTGGGGCGATGTGGCCGTGAGGAACCAGTGATGATCAGGACATTTTAGTCTTATTTGCGGTTTTCAGTCTTTACATGCCAGCTAACGTTTAGTTCTCCAGTCTAGGTTTCATTTTGAAGTTATTATGATTAACCTGCAATTAATTTTAATTTGAGGTATGAAATGTAAAAACGTAGCTTTGGGATCTTTATGGGTCTTTAACAGTGAGTTAGGAATTCCATTTATCCTTTGGTGTTCGGTACCATTTAGCTGTTTTAACAAAGTTATCATGTACAACAAAAACGACAGAAACGTTGACTTGTCATCATAAATCACAGCAAGGACTCACTCTGTGACACACGGACCAGCTCAGCGACGTTCCACACCCCCGAAGTCACAAAGCAGTCCTGGAAACTCAAGTGGCCTGCGTAAAAAGACGGAGAAGCATTTAGTAGAGCGGACCGCATGGTAGTTTCATGTCCCCAAACATGGATAAAACTTTCCAAACATATGAAAGGACACAAAGACTGGAAGAAGGAGCTGGAAGACAGACGTATGGAAACGTTTGGCAGTGTAATCCAGTGGGGCCATGTGGTTTCTATAACATACAACACGCCTTCGGTTTTTGGACATTCCAAATTTGTTGAATGTTGACATCAAACATACACAACCAATCAGGTCCAACAAGTGAGGATAATCTCCACACAGACAGCTATATTATATATGATTCATAGTGCACTGAGATCGTCATGAACACAGCACGAGACCACAAAATACAGCCGTCGTGATGGAAAACAGTCAACGTTTCATCGAGATAAAAGCTCTGTGCACAGCAGAAATAAGGCACATTCCAAGATACGGCAAAGAACTTGTAATCACAATATCCTGATGCATGCTAAATAATCCAGGTAGAAAAATCTAAAAAAGTTAAATCTGGTCCTCTGGACATTCAAAAAAACAAAACAAAGCAAAACAACAAAAAATGTAGAAACATTTCGTCTCTCGTCCGAGAGACTTCCTCAGTCTGAGGAGCTGTATCCAGTGGAACTGGTTGATCCACTCTGAGAAGGTGCTATTTAAGAGACTGAGCTGAATACAGCTCCTCAGACTGAGGAAGTCTCTCGGATGAGAGACGAAACGTTTCTACATTTTTTGTTGTTTTGCTTTGTTTTGTTTTTTTGAATGTCCAGAGGACCAGATTTAACTTTTTTAGATTGTAATCACAATGTTTATTTTTCTACAATAATGAGATGACAGCTTGGAATATTACTCTGAATGTCAGAGACTGGTATTTTGAAGTACAAAATACTTTGCCACTGTTATTTAATTCAAATAACTATCTTTATAGTTTAGCTAAATCTGTTGCACCTAAACAGCAAAGAACTGGATCTGAAAAGAAAATTCAGCTCCAAATTTCCAACAAAGTTAAGTCAGGTCATCTGGATGGTTTCTTTTTGATGAGAAGTTTTGTCCTTCATCCAAAGGACTTCTTCAGTCTGAGGAGACACAACAAACTCACAAGCAGCACACTCGCGTAGTGGACTAACCAGTTTAATGGTGATAAGATGGTTTGTGGAGTCTGCCTTCTTCCCCGTCGACTCGTCTGAGGCAGCCATGGCCGTTATTACTTGGATTATTGATCATGAACTTTGATGAGCTCCACATAATTTGGAAATAATCTTATAACAGATCTAAGGGCAGTGACAAATGCCTCTCTAAGATCATTGCTGATGTCTTTCTGCCCTGGCTTTGTATTAACACATAAATGGGGGCAGCTGTAGCTGAGTGGTTACAGCAATTGTCCTCCAATGGGAGAGATGGTGGTTTGATTCCACCATTAGTCACACGTTGAAGTGTCCCTGGGCAAGACACTGAACCCTCATTGCCTCCGATGTGTCCCATCAGTGTATGAACGTGACAAAGCTCTGATTAATCTCTACAGATTCAGATGATCTTTGTACAGATCTAGTAGAGTTCTGTATGAATGTGTGTGGAGGTAAATGAGGCACAGATTGTGTTGTAAAAGTATCTTGATACGATAGAAAGGAGCTATAGAAGTACAGTCCATTTACCATAAAACATCCATAACATGTTGGAAGTGAAAGAGTAAACTTTCTTTTCCCCACGGCTGTAGATGTTAAATGGAACATATATTGATATTCATGGAATTTACTGGATGGAAAAAGGAATATTACACAGACTAAGTATATAATGTTGGATCCAGGTCTACTGGGTGTGTATAAAGAGCCGAGGCTTCTGGGCTGAGTCGATTTTAAACCCACACCCCTCCTCTAGTCCCACATTTTTTATTTTATTCTTTCTCTCACTGTCCATCACTCTATCTACTCTCTTCTCTTCACCCCATCATCCCTCTTTTTCTTTTCAGGCCCCCCACACCATTTCCCTCCCACTCTCCCCGCCTCACTCTTTTCTCCTGTCCGAGGTTAACCGCAGCGGGGACGGCGCATGAGGTCAGCGCTCAGCTCGGCAGCGACCATGTGGTTCCCATCTTCCAATAACGTCAGTGTGATTTATGAGCGGACTGCCACAACCCGAGCGCAGCCCCCACGCTACAGAACCATCAACTCTCCTTACCATAATAAATGTAGCCTCAAATCTGCTCGAACACACTAACACGCACAGAGAGGCCTCTCTGTACACGTGTGTGCTTTTTACCACCTACAGGTGACCGCATGTTGCATGAGTGTGAATAAATACAATGAGTGAACTCACCATTTGGTGGGGGCTTGACGTCTGTGTCTCCTTGCTGGGTTGAGTTGTCTGATTGTCCGGATTGTTCTAAAACACAAAAGAAAAAAAAGTTTCTGAGCCCGAGTTGTCTAAAACGCTGACAGAGAAGGTGATGGGTGAGAAGCATTCTCACGTTGTTCTTTATTTTGTTGAAATATATTAAGGTTGTCAAAAATATAAATACAACATAGATGATCAAACAATGGATGATGGGTGGATGGACGGACGAACGGACGGACGGACGGACGGACGGACGGACGGACGGACGGACGGACGGACGGACAGACAGACAGACAGACAGACAGACAGACAGATAGATAGATAGGCTGCAATTTGAGGCATCCAGTAGCATTTGCTAATTACACAAAAAATACACATGAAATAATAAAAAAAGCAGAATACACAACTTTGAAAAAGACAAATATGCACAAGGTGGTAGGGAGTACTACATTCATGATTAACCTCTATGTATACAAACATACACATCTAAGCATACATACCATAGATATGCTAGATTAATTATACGTTAGATTAATTATATGTTAGATTAATTATACGTTCGATTAATTATGTCAGTTTAATATGTGACCAGATGGTCATTTAGGAGACTACTGACGCCAGCAGTGCATTTGCTTCATGTATTTCCTGTTTTGTTCTCCACGGGGCCAGCATTCTTGAGAAAAAGTCATTTGCTGACTCAGCTTTAAACTTTAAACGTAAAAACACAATAAAATACCAATACAGTATCGGGTATCTGGCCTGATATCGATACTGGTATTAATATTTGGCCTTGTATTGGGACACTACTAGCTAATGATATTTGTTCCTGTAAATAACCACAAAGTACCACATAAATAATAGTTTCGCACAAAAGTGACAGCAATGCAAAAGTTAAAATAGTGTTTGTATGAACCAGAAATACATTTTTTAGACTGAAGTTGTTTTAAGCCCGGCAGTCCTGTTGCACCTACACAGACATGTGAGCTTGTTCAAAGAGCTATCTACAACAGGTAAGATATTCATTGTTTAAAACATTTCCACAGAAACCACTTCACAGCTGGGATATCCTTTAAAGTCAATTTAAACCGTGCTTCTAATCAATGGTTGTTTTTGTTGCTGTTGAGGGTTTTTAATTTTCCATTCTGAGTGACACTGAAGCGTTTCAACAGCCCTGAAGGCTGCACTCCTTATTCTGTTAAAGACAACTCGTGTTTTAACGCTCACGCTGTCGTCACTGAGTGCATTTACAAAGACCAGTCTTAATTAGAGTGATTTTAATCGTTAACACACACTCAGTGTAGGCCTGCAACAGGGTCTAAAGTGTTATTTTCAAGACATATTTCACTTAATCCAGCCAGCATATGGTTCAGACTGCCTCTAGCGTCTGTTTGACTCAACACAACGTTTTTGTTCTGTTTTACTTCAGTGCCTTTCCCAGGGACATATCGAAATGCAATAAAGACTAAAAGGTGAATGAGTATCTTGTTACATTTCTGTTTCTAGCTGCGACACAAACTGTTTTTCTAAAGGCCTCTGACAGCGTTTGTTAGCTAAAGACCTCTGGGTTTCCGCTGCCGACTTGTAAAGGTCACATTTTTATGTTCTGGGCTTCGTTTGGATTGCACCTCCGGTGTAAATTTACCTCGACGTCTACAGGGGCAGGCAGGCGTACATGGTCAGCAAGTTCTGTTTGGCCCACTAGCTGCCATTCCTCTTCAGATGTGTAACACTGTTGAGTTTTATGGATGGATCATATATGCTGTTGAAGCCAATTACCCCACAGAGCTTCGATTTGAAGAGCGCCTCGAGCCAACGCTTCGTACCAGGGCGAGGCCTCCCTTTCAGCCGCCACTAGGCCCCTCTATCTCCACATCTCCTGAGCCCAAATCAGAGCCCTAATCTTGGGTGGGAGAAGTGAGCTACGTGCCAGCAAACTGCTGCACTATTCACCCCGTCTGCCCGCTGCCAAGACCAGCAAAACAAAGGGAGACGAGAAATCGCCTCATCGTTCAACGGCCAAACAGAAAAGGGAGAATATATACGAGAACGGTTCCCCCCTCGAAACCCTTAGACCTCGTTCTATAGGATTCCAATGGCAGGTCTGTCCCCGCTCGCTCAGCATCTCTCCCACTGTCTCTGATTCTTTGTCGCGATGATGCTCAGTGGAATCCTGGCAGCCATCTTAGTGCTTGGCAGCCATCTTAGCTTTGGCGGTACCCATGCATTCCTGCTAGCTGACGGCATACGTAGACACAAACAGGCTCCCGCTCTTAGCTCAGCTTTTCTCTCGGACACAACCACAGCGGTCCTAAAGATAAAAAGACCTGCGGGGGATCTGGAGAGCCAGTGGAGCGAGGATAAAACCACTACGACGCTTGTCTGCAGCCCGGCGAGAGTCGTTCCGCTCGCTCTGACGACCATCAATCAGTAACCTCAGACCAACTGTAAAGGAAGTGTGCAAATAGTAAAGAGCAAGGATTCACGTCAAGGACGGTGATTCTGGACGAAATTCAGGGAGTAAATGAACAAAATGTATTAACTGATGTTCAACCAAACAAATCTAATGTTCTCTACACATCTCTAGATAAAACCACTCTTACACTTTGTGACAACTCCCAAGCCAAAACTCAGCGCCTCGTTGTCATGACGACAGCGACGGCACAACACACTTAAAGTCCCTAATGATGAGCGGTTGTTGAAGCTCGTGCGTGCGTACGTGTCGTTGTTTGGCCTGGCAATTAGTTGGAATGAAGATAATAATATAGCTCGCTGGCACGGGGTCAACACGTTGTTTTCTTTAAGTATCTCTTGGCACCGAACGGACCGGCAGCCGATCACAAGGCCGACTTTATTACTATATCAGCTGGGTTTTTATTTTCATTTCACCGTCTTAAATCCACTTCTGACTGGGCTCTCAACTGGTTTGCATCTCTTGGCAACGTGTAAAACAATTCAGCTTCACCTGTACTTAAAATCAGAAGAACAAATGAGCCGTGCACTATCTAAGAAAGACTTGAAAGGTATTTTTTTTAAATAAAATTGATTTCTTTAAACTTAAAACTACAAGGATTGATGTAAATATCTTGTTTTACAGCTCTACTCTTGATCAAACGTGAATTTTAAATGTTATAATAAAAAGGGAGACGCAGTGGGGCCAGCCTGTGATGCAGAAACAGATTTGATCGTAACGCTCGTGAAGCATCACTCTACTGTGATCTGTTCTTATTCGTTTTTCTGTGATCCTCATCCCACAGTTTTCAAACTATTTCAATAAATCATAAATCAAAAACTTTAGCTCATTCAAGAGAAGGGTGTTATGACTTCTGGTATTGGTGCAACTTTAGCTTTTTGAAATATTTAGCTTTTTCTGCCACTTTATTTCCTGATAGAAAATGAACTGAGCTCATTTTACCTCCTTCACATCTTCAGATCTGTTTACAACCTTTTACTGCTCCTTTCACATTCTGTCCTGCTTCAGCTTCTTTCAGCTTCCTTTTGCACATTTGAACTTTTTTCAGCTACTTTCAGCTGCTTTTTCAGCTGTTTTGTTCTCGTTTCAGGATCTTTCTGCTAACTAGGTTTTTGTGCTTCTTCAAACTTCTTTCTGCTCCTTTCAGCTTCTTTCTGAAAGTTTAAGCTTTTTCTGCTATTTCAGCTACTTTTTTAAAGCTGTTTATATGCGAATTTAAGCGTTTTTAGCTAATTCCACATTTTTGCACTCATTTAAACTTTTTTCAGTCTAATTAAACAAAAATGCGCTGTCTCCACTTCCATCTTGTAATTTCAGCTTCTTTCTGCATTTTATGTTATTTTTTCGGCTGTTTTTTTTTTTTTTTCTAATTTCAGTTTTTTTCAGATATTTTTTTTTCTACTTTTTGTGCTTATTCCGGCTTCTTTCGTCCTAATAGGGCAAAGTGATCTTTCCACTTTCTTCTGCTAATTTAAGCTTGTTCTACCTTTTCAACTAACCTTTTAGCATTTTAAGCTAATTTCAGCTGTTTTCTGATAAATTCAATTTTTTTCTGGTAATTCCTGCTACTTTCAGCATAATTACATTTTTTCTGATAATTTCATCTTTTTATACTCCTTTCAGCTTATTTCTGCTAGTTACAACTCTTTCAGCTAATAATATATGTTTTATGCAAATTTTTTGCTTTTTCAACTAATTCCACATTTCAGCTTATTTCACTTCTTTCTGGTAGTTTAAGTTCTTTCTGCATTTTCAGCTATTTTTTTGTTGTTGCAAATTTCAGTCTTTTCTAGCCAATTTCCTAAATTTTATGCTAATTTCTGCTTATTTAAATCTAATTCAGTAAATATGTGTTCTTTCTGTTTTGTTCTGATAATTTAGGCTTTTTGTCACCATTTCTACTACCGTTCAGCATTTTTTTTTAGCTAATTTCAGCTGTTTTTCAGGAAGTTCTTCCCCAATAAGCATTCACACTGCATTGTTGCAGGAAATGCAATTTTTCTAGTTATTATAATTATTATTATGAAAAAAGCCTCAAAACTTTGGAGCCTCATATTATGAGGTTCCGTTATTCAAACATGTATTTTAGTGCTAAACTCGTTATTTGTTGTTAAGTAGCAGCAAGCCGTTGTGCTTTACAGACCTGCAACAGATGCATTTTTTAATGTTGTGCAATTTTTTTTGTTTTAATTGAAAAGTTTTGTTGGTATTTTACTCGAGTCTTTTAACAGGAAGAATAAATAAAACAAAATGTGAGAAATGTAAATAATGGAGTATTACAGTAAATACGCTGTCAGACTAAGAACGTCTCAGGAGGACTTCACTTTCTTCTCTTCTTTCAGCCGCTCCTTTCTTCAGGCGTCACCAGTGAACTCGGTCGCACAAGGACATGGCGATTGTCTTGAAGCTGGATGTTCTTCCTGACACAACCACAGCCTCTGTGTGGAGCAGAGAGCTGCCATGTAGGGCGCCCAGATGGTGGGGGCCTTGCTCAAGGGCCCAGAGTGGGGCAAATGATGGAGACAGGTGTGGGTGTTTCACCTTTCCCACCCACATTTTGATGTTGTCGGTCCGGGGG